AGTTGCAGTTTTTTGGAAAAGAAAGAAGAAACCATAAGTGCGAGCATTGCTTGGGGCATCTATACATGTATATACTGTGTATATACATACACACACATATCTATACTGTAGTGGCCTCCGCCAGTGCCGCCGATCCGGGACGTTTCCGTTGCTGCCGGAAGCGCACGATGGCTGTCATGACCAGCGACGACGGCGAGCGGTGAAGATGAGGATGAGGATTGGGATTGGGGGCAACAGAAGAGGATGAGGAGGAAGAGGAGGAGGATCATGATGAGGTGGAGGGGGGTGGGGGGGAGGGGCAGGAGTAGCAGAATATCGAGGATGAGGAGGAGCAGGAGGAAGCGGGGAGTGGAAGAGGGGGAGGGGGAAAAGGAGGAGCATGACGAGGATGAGGAGATTGTCGGCGGTTGTTGGAAAGCTTCTTCGGGGCCAAGTGTTGGCAATTTGAGGGTTGACACCTCGCCGATTTGGCGCACTCTTTGAAAAGCTTTGTGCTAGAGCTGTATGCGTCACAGTAATTGGTCGGCCTCTGCTGGGAACCATGGTGTTTGGGGGGGTATATGGGGCCTTCGCGCGGTCCTCTGCGGGCCCTTGTGAGATCATGGACGCGATGGACACCGAAGACGGGGGAATGTGTGAAAGCGTGGAAGAACTTTATGTACTGCAACGCTTTTGTTCAGACGTAAGCGCTGTGGAAGCATTGGGGCCGGTTCTGGGTTTCTCGGGGGGGGGGTCTTGGAGGCAGTTTGGAGGCCTTTGGAAGGCGCCCTGGATGCATTGGTTGAGACTCCTGGGGACCTTCAGGGGCTTCAGGGGGCCTCTTCGGGGCCAGTTGGAAGCGTTTGGGGGCCTCTTCTTGGGCCGCATTCGGCACTTTTCCCGCCGTCTTGGTGCCCTGTCAGGCGCCTCTTGGGCCCGTCCTGGGGCCCTCTTGGGCTTTTCCGGGGGCCTCCTGGGCCAGCTTGAGCCCTTTTTGGGCCGTCTTGGAACCCTCTTGGCGGCCTTGATCGGCGGTTTGGGGGCTCTCTGGGGCGTTTGGGACGCTCTGAAGGCCCAAGAAGCGAATCTGTTAAAATTGTACGTTTGCCCTTGGGAATGGGACATGTTTTATTTTTTGGGGGGGCTTCTCTTCAGGGTTTCTGAGGGCATCTTGAACGTTTCTGGAGCCGTCTTGGGGGCATCTCGGGCGTCTTGTAGCGATCGTTCGGCGAGTCGGGGCCCTCTTGCCCCATGATGGGGCCCTCCTGGGCGAGGGGGCCGTCCTGGAGTGAGCTGGAGTTCCGATTCCGCCCCGGGAATTAAATCGAACCACCACCACCCTCCCCCTACCCCGGCAGAGCCACCCCGGCACCCACCCCCCAGTAGAGCTGAAGCTCAGGAATTGAGGCTCAGGCTGTTCTGAAGGCCTTTGAAACTCACACGCTGGATCGGCGGAGACATACATCTATATGTATATATATATATACACATACATACAAACATACATACATACATACATACATACATGCATACACACAGACACACATACATGCATGCATACATACATACATAAATGCATACATACACACATAGATATACATATATATGTATGTATGTATGTATGAAAATGTGTATATATATATACATGTGTATATATACATATATATATATATATGTGTATAAGTATAGGGGTGTGTGCGTCTGTGGGCGTTGGCCGAAATGTCGGTGACTTCCCACCAAATCAAAGTATTGCGGTAGGCGTTTCGGGGGAACGCGCCAGGTTCGGCCAGCTGCGGGACCCCGGAAGGGACCCAAACCCTTCGTGCTCCCCGCCAAAGTCTTTGCGAACAAATCTGACGCCGAGAGAGTCTGCCCGCTCGCATATACACGAATACAGTTTTAAAAGCATGGCTATAAACATACACGCATAAACATACACATGTACGTGTATGTTGCATGCGTACATACAGACATGCATACACATATAAATACACACAAACATAATCACGGACATGCATGCATACATAAGCACACACAGGTTCACATACATACATACATGTATACATACATACATTACATATCCAGACACATATGTAGACAGACAGGCAGACATACATTCAGACATACGTACCTACATGCATACATACATACATAAACCCATACATGCACGCATGCATACATGCATATATTCATACATACATACAAATATACATATACACGCATACGTACGGACATACGTAGATGCATCCAGACACACAGACCTACGTATACGTCTACAGCTACATGTAGACTTACACATGCAGATGCGTATGCCTATACATTCACACATAATTATACACAACACACATGTGTAAGTCGAGAGAGAGAGAGAGAGATCCTGCCAAAGCACGCTCTCCGCCTTCTCCCGCCTTCGTTTCTCATCCTCGCGCTTCTCTCCAATCGTATCCTCCCCCCCAGAGGTCACTCTTCGGTACTATGCTTGCGCCCGCGCCCTAGCCCAGTTCATGCTGAGATTGCGCAAAAGTTGCCATTTGGCTCGCCTTTTTCGCGGGGGAACGTCCCAGCGCCGCCCCACTCGCACCGCGCGCGAGCAGTCGCGCACAGGTAGGGGCCGCGCACCAGCGTCATGCCACGATGGCGAGCTCTCCCAGCCTTGGCTGTGCTGCTGCAAGGGGGTAAGGATAGCGCAGGGAGAAGCAAGCAAGGAAGATGCCTGACCAAGAAGAGCATCTACATTGCACAAAGTTGCCTTGGCAGTCGGCCTCCCGAGTGACGAGTAGCTTGATGAATAGGCACACTGCGCACGTGCGCTTTTGCTTTTGGAGTGCTGCGCCTGTTCATGCGTGAACGTGCATGCACACGTCCGCACGTACTGGAAAGCTGCTTGTTTGCACGCGCATGCACATATGTGACGGATTCTCGCGTACTCGTGGGGTCATGGGAAATCCATTGACAGGGGACCCCAATGAGGTAGACAGGGATGACTGGGCGTGGAATGTGTCTAGCGCTTCTCTCGATCGGGAAGTCCATCCGCGGGTACGCACTAGCCCTGGCACGTTGTCGCTAAGGCCATTGGGTAGGGTTTTGGTCGTCGCCGACGACATCGACGACGACCGCAACCACCACAACGACCACGATGACGACGACGACGCTGCCTGGCACCTGTGAGCAAGACAGCAGCGGAGACCGGCACGAGCGTGGAGCGACCGACAGAAACAGCATAGCGGGCGTGAAGCAATCGATGCCCAAGGCGAAGAAAGCCATTGGCGGCGACTCGAACGGCTAGCCAGCCCGGAGGAGAAGGAGGACGAGACGGAGAGGCAGCAGGAGGTTGATGGAGGATGAAGGGTGAATGAGGGGGGGAGGAGGTGGACCGAGGATGAAGGGTGTGAGGAGGATCGGAATGAGGGAGAGGCAAACGGTGGATAGATGATGAAGGGTTGCAGGGAGAGATGGAGGGAGGAGGAGGAGGAGGAGGAGGACTGAGGATGGAGGATGGATGGATCGATGAGGAAGAGAAGGGGGAAGGAGGAGGAGAAGGAAGAGGAGGAGGACGAGGACGAGGACGCGGAGCAGGAGGAGGACGAGGAGCAGGAGGAGGACGAGGAGGACGAGGAGGAAGGAAGGAGGGAGGGAGGGAGAAGGAGAAGGAGGGAAAGGAGGGAGGGAGGGAGGGATGGAGGCGAAGGAGAAGGAGGAGGAGGCAGAAGGACCCCCCATCCCCCGCTGTCGACGCCGCTGGCGCGCCCCCACGAATCTCGCGAGCGAGAGAAGAAAATGCCTGGAGGCTGTCCGCCTTCGCCAGCGCCATGGGCGAGGCCTCCGCGACACTGCACAGGGACCATTGACCCCCGGGCCACCCTTCAGCAGGAGGAGGAAGGAAGAGTCGGAGGAGGAGGAGGAGGAGGAGGTGTGTAGCAGGAATGGGGCAGGAGGCTGCAGGATTGAGGAACTGGAGGAAAGGAGGTGGAGGATGGAGGAGGAGGAGGAGGAGGAGGAGGAGGAGGAGGAGGAGGAGGAGGAGGAAGATGAGGGGGATGAGGGGGACGACGACGACGACGACGACGACGACGACGACAACGACGGCGTCGACGATAACAACGATGAGGGAAGGTGAGGAGGATGGCTAAAACAAAGAAAGGGACACCCCTTCCCCAGTCACACCGAGTCACACCAAGAGCATTCGGAGGTACTGGCACTAGGGTGGTTGTGAGTGTTGAAAGAGCGTTTTCTGCCGCTGCTGGCGAGGCAGAGAGGGCAAGTTCCAGACCCCCCCCAACCCAGGGGAAGGAAATCATCCGGAGAGGTCCAGAACCGCCCCCCCCCACACCCCCCACCCCGGGGAAAAATATCATTCGAGGCGTCCAGGAAACCCCCTCCTCGCGACGACGACAACGACGACGATGACGACGGCGACGACGAAGGCAACGACAACGACGACGACGACGACGACGACGACGACGGCGGCGACCGCGGCGAGGGGCGACGACGACGACGAGGATGACGACGATGACGACGACGACGATGACGACGGTAACAACAACAACAACAACAACAACAACAACGACGACAGATGACGACCACGACCACGACGACGACGACGACGCCGACGCCGACGACAACGACGACGACAATGACGATGACAACGACGACGACGACGACGACGACGACGACGACGACGACGGCAACGAAGACGAAGACGGCGACGACGACAACGACGACGATCGAGCCCTAGCGGGATGCGATTCAAGTTGGACCGAGCCCTAGTAGGTGTCTTGTCATGTTGGATCGAGCTGTGGTAGGACTGTAAGGGCTGGATCCAGCCTTGATGGGATTTTAGTAAAATTGGTCGGAGCTGGATCCAACTCTATTAGGACTTGGCACAAATTTCCAGTTGAGTTGTGGTAGGACCCCATCCGACCTGGATCCTGCCCTGATATGACTTTACTCGAGGTGGGCCCAGCCCTTGTAGGATTCGATCAAAGCTGGATCGAGCCCTAGTTGGAGCCGATCAGAACTGG